TTTCTCATGTTGCTAAATTAACATCTGTCAGGTTACTTATTTTACTCGCTGCAACTCATGATTGGCACTTACATCAGCTAGGCATTAAAAATGCATTCTTGCATTGTGATTCTCAGGAAGAAGTTTACATTGAGCAACCTCTGGGGTTTGTTGCTCAGGGGGGATATGATAAAGTTTGTCGACTTCGTAAATCTTTTTATGGTCTGAAACAGAGTCATCGTGCATGGTTTGGGAAGTTCAGCCGGTCAATTGAACATTTTGGAATGATAAAAGGCAAATTAGATCACTCTCTCTTTTACAGACGAACGAAAGCAGATATCACATTGCTTGTGGTGTATGTCGATGTTATTGTGATTACAGGAAGTGATAATGCAGGTATTTTGGCCCTTAAAAATTATCTTCATAGCCAGTTCCAGACAAAAGATCTAGGCTCATTGAAATACTTCTTGGGCATTGAGGTAACACGGAGTAAGACAGACATATTTCTATCTCAATGAAAATATGTACTTGATTTGCTCGCTGAAATAGGGAAGTTGGGATCAAAGCCGAGCAATACTCACATGGTTCCCAATGTGCAACTCACTCAAGAAGGCATGCCGTTTGAAGACCCAGAAAGATATAGACGATTGGTTGGAATGCTTAATTATCTTGCAGTCACTCGTCCAAATATTGCTTACTCTGTGAGTGTAGTGAGTCAATACATGTCATCTCCGACCATGGATCATTGGGCTGCTGTAGAACACATATTATGTTACTTAAAGGGAGCACCAGGACGAGATATTGTTTATCAAAACCATGATCACATGATAATAGAATGCTTTGCAGATGCTGATTGGGCCGGTTCTAAAGATGATCGAAGATCTACATCTGGCTATTGCGTCTTTGTTAGTGGTAATCTTGTATCCTGGAAGAGTAAGAAACAGAATGTGGTTTCTCGTTCTAGTGCTGAATCGGAATATCGAGCTATGGCACAATCCGCATGTGAGATAATATGGATACAAAGATGGAATATTCCTATATAAGATGCTATACAATAATAATGTCAAGAGTATATTCCTAAAGCATATTCTATATTCCTAAAGCATATTCTTAGATACTTATATAAACACTGAATAATATGGAAGAGTGGAGGAAAGATTTTATGTGTTTTTCATTGGAGGGTTAAGGCCCTATAATTAAGCATTCCAACCAATCGTCTATATCTTTCTGGCCCTATATATATATATATATATATAGGGCCTTAACCCTCCAATGAAAAACACATAAAATCTTTCCTCCACTCTTCCATATTATTCTAGTTTATATTTCAACAAATAGGAAGTTGAAGATCCTATCACCCACCTTGAGGACAAGGCGGTTATTTAAAGGGGGGAGATGATAGGGACCCTTGTAGAATAATACTCCCTCCGTCCCAATTTGTAAGATACTCTACGGTTTACGATGTTTGACCGACGATAAAGCAAATTGATCCCTGTCAACACTCAAATTAGTTTTAGAAAATAAAATTTACATATTCAGAAACTACATTAAAACCGCTACAAAATCTGCAAAAAATAATTCAAATTTCATAAACTTTTGATATATAAAGTAAAAGATTAAGAGTTATTTATGTCGACCAAGTGAATAGTAAATGTATCTTACAATTTGGGACTGGGGGAGTAATAATTAAGAAGAGTACTACAGTAGGATAAATAAGGGGGTGAGTAATAAGAGGTAGGCTGTTATTGAATTAGAAAATAGAACTTTGGAGAGCTCTGGCACTCTCGAACTTGCCCAAAAATTGTTTCTGTTTTGTAATTGTTTCTGTTAGTTGAATGCAAGGTAGTCAAAGTCGCGAGGCGCTAGAGTACTTGTATCGCCCGAGGCGCAAGGCGCAAAAAAGCGCTTGCCTAACTCAGAAAGTCATGTTTCTAAAAAATAAAGTCATGATTCACCAAAATAAAGTCATGGTTCACAAAAACAAAACACCAAGTGGGGTCTGTTTTTGTTGTTTTTTCAATTTTACCACTTGGAATAACACAAATTATAGTGTATGAAACTATTAACCGAGTTAGATAGTATGAAATGATAATAGGAAGATATAGAGTTATAAACTGTGTAATAAGATGAAATAATATAGAGTACATATAATGTAAACTAGTAGTCAAGTACATATAATATGTTTGAGTTGTATACAATATATTATAAGCAAAAAGAACTATAAATTATGCATAGATGACTGGAACTGATAAAAGTAAAGAAGGATGAGAGACTGAAAGAAAAAATGAAAGGATTATGAAGAAGATGACAAGATAAATGAAAACTACAAGCTGAAAAAGAAGAAAGTACGTGGGAAGATGATGAAGAAGAAGACACCTTATGGGTTTCTGGCTTCTGTGGCTTCGTTGAATATGTTTTAGCGCTAAGCATGTTGCGCAAGTAGAGCACATAGCAGCATAGGAGCGTAACGATGAAGTCAAGACTTTTCCCACGACTAAGAAGGGTTTAATATGGGTTTAAGTTGTATTTACCTATTAGTTGGACGGGCTAAATCTTATTATTAGTATGGGCTTATTATTTAAAGTAGGATCAAACAAAAAATAGGCTGATAAACCTTTCCCAGTCCAGGCGACTTAAGCATGTGCTTTTCTCAACTTCGGTGCTTCTGCGCTTTATGTGCCTAAGCTGCGCCTGAGACATGAGGGTGCACCTGGTCATCTTTCAAGCGCTATACCTCTATTGCGCTGCGCCTGGTGCGCTTAAGCGCTGAGGCGCTCGACTTTGACTACCTTGGTTGAATGAAAGTTCAGTTTCTTGATTATCTTGTTAGATAGAAATTTAGAAATTTTCAGTGTTCTATCAGAAACTAGGGGTATTAGCTTGTACCTTTGATTCAATCTTTCTTTTGGTGTGGTTTAATTGTGTGCATTATGGCCCAGTTGAGTGCCTCTAGCAGAGTTTAGATGTGTTTATGAAGTCTTATAGTAGAGTAGCTAATTAATTGAGTTCATCTTTTTGTAAAGTTTGACCATTGATCAACCCCACACAATCTTGAACTCCTTCCAGAACTCTCGAAGTGTTCTCAAGCGGTCAAACCATGGGAAGAATTTGCTGTTTTCATTTTAGTATAGGTCTAATCATTCAAGGACTCATGGTTGCTGAGTCAAATTTGAAGCATGCTAATTTTAATTTGTAGAGCATGACCTTAAAATAGTGAAGTAATATATCATAGATGCACAAACCACTTATTGAGTCTTGTTGAATGTGAAAATGGAAACTGATTAAACTTTTGATTAGATTTGTAATTCCTCCGTGCAACAATAAATGCCACCAAGAGATGGCCACACAAATTAAGAAACTCTGTTTCTTCCTACATTTCCCTTATTTTGATGGACAAAACCTCTCCAATTAATCGGCTGACAAATGTCTGACAACGAGCTTCATACTTCTTTTCCTAATTATAGATTGTTCCCCATTTTTGCTTTTAGTTTCTTCTTCCCCATTCTTATCTTTACCTATGTCTCTTTAACATCTCTCAATAATTAGACCTAGATTTGCAACAACAACAACATCCAAGCCTTAATCCCAAAAGAATTTGGGGTCGGCTAACATGAATCGATCTATGATATCGATGCCAAACAGAAGACGAACAAGAAGGGGGGGAAAAAGTAAGATAAAATGAATAAAATAAAGATAAATAATTATAAGATAACAACAATGATAGAGTTTATGGGCCCAGACCCCATGACCCACATACTCGGAAGACTGAAATAAGCACACTGAAATAAGGACGTCTGCCAAACATTTACCAACTCAGAATATGGTCCATCATCCCAGGATCATATCTTGGTCCCTCGTCGGCCAGGCCCTCCGTCGGTCAAAGAGAAAATAACATAAGAATATAAAAAGATAAAGAAGTTAGACGAGAAAAGAAAACAGAGAGGAAAGGTAGAAAAAACATCAATCGTCCACACGGATGTGCGCCCTCCACTTTGCTCTCTCCAAAGCCATACTCTCATCCAACTCAAGAAGACGCATGTCAGTTCCAATTCCTCTAATCCACTGTTTGGGTCTTCCCCTCCTTCTCTTCTATGCCTCTTCTCCCCACCCCTCAGTCATCTAACAGGTGCATCACTCGACCTTCTAGGAAGGGGTCTCTAACTCCATATTCATTTTTTGGGCTTTCTTGATTACATATTGTGATTTTGTTTCCAGGAAAAATAAAAATAAAAAGCCAAAAAGTGTACTTAGTAGACGATGGCCCCAACTGAATAGTGAATACATGCTAGAGAAAGAGCGCCACATGGTAAGGGTTATTTGGTGAAAACCTCTTAATCTACTTAGGTTTTTCAACCAAACGCTATAGATAGAGAAGCTGGTTATGGCTACCAACCTACCCAATTATCTTGCACCTTTGTTCATCTTTCTAGTTCTAACATATACTACATCCGTTCTTTTTTTATTGCAACAATTTGACTTTCATGTTTTCCAACACACAACTTTGATTGTTATTATATTTAATTATGTATTAGTAAATATTATAATAAGTTACTCCCTCCGTCCCGCTAAGATTGTCCTATTTTACCTTTTTGGAAAATCCCCCTAAGATTGTCTCATACCAAATTTGGTAAAGTTTGTGTGGCTCTAAATCATTTTTACTTTATTCTTACTTTATCAATTCAAATTCAACCTCATAAACTCACTTTTCTAAACAACCGTGTCACCCCCTCTCGTCCCAAAGTTAGTGGGACGAAGGTAGTAATATATTGGAAATTCACATTAATAGAAATTTAATAATATTTTATATATAATAATTTGATTAGATATATTAGTAGAAAATCAAGTTCATGGTAAGGGGTGTGAATAATGCAAAAATCACAATGTTGCATTTTCTATCAATAGTCAATGCATTAACATTTTACTTATACAAGACATGCAAAAACAACATCCAAGCCACTCATCAAAAAATTACTTTAAGTTGTATTCAGCTCTTTCATAACACAATAATTATGTTGAGCCAGGAAACAACAGCCTTGGCTGGTTCATCTGCTGGTGCTATTGTTTGTGCAGTAATAGCATCTGGAGCGACAATGCAAGAGGCACTGAAAGCAACAAAATTATTGGCTGAGGATTGCCGGCTTAGGGGAACGGCCTTCCGCCTTGGGGTATAGACATAGAAGATTCCATGCTTAAATTCTAGGAATTTAAAAATACTTTTCTTTTTGTTGCTTCAAGCTTGAACTGTGATATAGACATAGAATATTGCATGCTTAAAATCTAGGAATATAAAAATACTCATCTTTTTGTTGTTACAAGCTTGAACTGTGATATAGGTTGTCTTAAATCTTATGTCTTTTGTAAACAAATCACAATCTAAGACATGGTTATATTCTCGCCAGGCTGTTCTCCAAAATAGTTTAGTGGGACTTTTGCCGGATGACATCCATATTAGGTGCAATGGAAGAGTTCGCAGTATGTCTTATCTTCTTTTCCCTCCTTGGTTGCCCCTATACGTTTGACTTGTGTGTGTATTACCAAGTGATAGCATTTCGGACATAGCCATGGTTGTGCACCTAAAGTATCTAAAGAGAGTGTGTGGAGCCTTGACTTTTTTAGAGATAAAATTGTGTGGTTACTAATGTGTCTAATCCCTGCATGGACCACTGGGATGGGTATATGAACTTCGAAGAAGATATAAGAGCTATGATACTCTGCTACTATGGATGGTCGGGTAGTCATCCTGTGAGTCTCGCTGGACTGAGCCTTTTATGCATGATCAAGGCATTGTTTGCCTTATGGGTATTGACCACCTTTTGATTCAAGAGAACGTTACTGGTTGAGGATTAATGGCCCTGGTACCTCTCAGTGGTTCAGCCTTTTATGCCTTCCCACCTCTCAGTAGTAGGATTCTTCTGGAGTCCACCCTAACTTGTGAGAAACAATGATCACAATTAGGACTAGAGAGATACGATGTTAAAGGATTTAATGTCCACATACTTATTCCCAATTGATTTTAAGAAGGAAATTATCACCGTTAATTTCACAACACAGTAGTTAAACGTGCTTGAGTTGCTTCAATTTAAGGATGACTCACCCAATGGGATGTTTGTGAATAATATATTACGCGGTCATATGGGCATCCCAACTGACCTTCCACTCTATAAGACCTCTTCCTTAAGCTGACATCTTGGTTCAGGTACACTGTTTTTGGGGGTGCCTTTGTAGCCAATCAGCATTCTGCTGTCAAATTCATAGATCGACCCACAACGACCACTGGTCCATAGCCCGGTGCTGCAGGCCCACTAGTCTCAAGTCCACACATACCACCACTACCAAGTGTTGATAACATTGCTCTATTGTAGTTGCAATAACAGAGATTTTTTGGAGGCCAAGGAGTTTGTTGGTTGATCAGTTTGATTCTAAGGAGGATCTCATAAATGCAGTAATGACATCTTCTTTTATTCCTGGGTACACAATTCTCCTAATTGCTACTTCGACTATTGCTTTTGTGTATCATGTGACTTTCTTACCATAAAAATGTCTTTTACTGTAGATATCTTGCACCAAGACCTGCCATGATGTTCCGTAACCGACTTTGCGTTGATGGGGGTTTGACAGTTTTTATGCCGCCAACTTCTGCTTCTGAAACGGTATATTCTGTGTACATCTCATGATGCTCTAGAAAAAATCTAATTTCTTCTGTCTATACTTTGTAATGGTATTCAGTATGGAGTAAATATTACGTAGTATTTGGCAACACTGTAAGAGTAAAAGTTGGCTGAAATGACTACAATAGACAAATCAGCAGTATTTTCCAAAATTATGGTTGAAATGACTGAATCGATGGAGTTTTCTAATAAATATTTACAACTATTCTTTTAAATAATTCAAAGGAAAATAACAATGGCCAAAAAGGTATCATTTTTTTGCAATTGTTAGCTAGTTCAATCAGTCAAATAGGCTGATAAGAAGAAAAATCACACTACCAAGACTCCATTTGTTTCCAAGGAAGTTCAAAGTATATTTGCTAGAAACTGTTGTGGATTTTCACGTGTTTGGCACATGAAACCATTTCCTTTGTTTGGCAACGAAAAATATTTTCATTGATTCTTTAAACTTTGTGGAAAATGGTTTTTCGTTATGCCAACAGAAAGTTATATTATCCTGAAACAATTTTATGCTTGTATTTTTGTGAGCCAAACTTATATTGCAAGGAGTACATTGAACCACTTGTTTTCTTTCGAAAACATTTTACACGTTAATTTATTTTATTCAGATCAAATTGTAGGGACTATCATTATTTTCTTCTTTTCTTTGGTTATTGAGGTCTGTTAAATTTTGGAAGCAAGTAACAACTGCTATATAACTTTAAATATCACAAGGTACGCGTTTGTGCTTTCCCAGCTAGCCGGCTAGGACTGCCTGGAGTCGGGATTAGTCCGGACTGCAATCCTGAAAATAGGGCCACCTCACGGCAGGTAACATCCTAAACACCTACAGGTGAATTCATGTTGTTAGAGTGGGTCTAAATCACACCAAAATGATCCTGATGTGGTGTATCTCTCACACATATATATGCCACATATATATGAATAGATTCAAGTAAAAAGTAGAGCCCTAATGAAAAAGGAGAATAAGTATTGACATCTAATGATTTTGAAAATAGATGAATTAGATATTAGATAATTTCATTAATCAAAAGACATGATGAAAAGATAATGTGCAAATGTTTATTATACAAAGTCAATTGTTAATAGATGAAAATGCATTTGTGGTTGTTAAATTAGATTATCATATGTTTTACTCACGCACATTTTATTTTGTATTCCAATGCACTTTGGTGCACCACATATACTCTTTTTATATATTTTGATACACATTTGTTACCATATTTTCATTTAAATATCTTTCCAATTACTATTACGCATAATGCCATCACATTTCTTATTTAAAATTTTATCTAGTTCATTCACTTTTTCGCATCAATGGCCAACACTTGTTCTTTTTATTTGAATCACACTCTCTTTACATATAATTATATCATCATCATCATTACCCCAGTGCCGCAAAGGCTCCCACCTACGGTGGGGTAAGGGGGTCGGATGTTCGCAATCTTACCCCTCCACTAAAGCACAAAGAGACTATTTTCAGATGACCCATAGTGAAGAACACGCCGAAAATTGTATGGACTGACTATAACAAAGAAGTTCAGACAATATTTATCAGATGACCCATAGTGAGTCATTTTTCAATAATTTATTCATCTGACTTCTAGATTGAATTTTATGGTGACATTTTGTGGACATATTCTTCACATAATGGAAAACATGCTTACGAAGTCCATAAAAAAAATTCACCTGAAGGCACATCAAATCAAATTGGCTTGACCACACGTCGGTTTTGATGAGGCACGCCTGAGGTGATTTGTCCTATATATATAACCTTTTATTTTTAATAAAATTTCCCTTTGAAAACAAAATATTAAAAATCATAATAACTAAAATATATATATGTGTGTGTGAGAGAGAGACAAAGATCTTGTCCATCCGTCTGGATGGGATCTTCTAGATGCCGCCATCAGAGGTGGCTCCTAGTGAGTTTTTTGTTGAAATTTTGTGAGGGCATGTCATTAATGAAGTCTAGATTATATTCACAAAATTTTAGCTAAAATTCAATCAGATTTCAGTTAAATAAATGATTGAAAAAAATGTGTTATTTTACCGTAGTGTTTTTCAATAATTTATTTAACTGACTTCTTGATAGAATTTTGAGGTGGAATTTTGTGAGCATAAACTATGCACTTCATGATGAAAAATATGCTCACAAGATTTCGTCAAAAAAATCTATCGGGAACTACCTCAAATGGCAGCAGCTGGAGGGGGTTCCGGTCAGGAAACACTGACGGGATCATTAAACTCTTCTAAAAGTCATTCTAGGTGCCTGTCTAGGTGCTAGGCACTGGCCGGGCGCCCCAGTTTTAGTGTAGATGCCCCGACTAATTGGTTTGATGTCTACTCAGCTAGGTGAAATTAGTCGGCCGCCTAGGGTTCCTATTTGTCTGCCTAAAGCGCCTAATCAGCCGCCTAGGACATTCACCAAGTATTTTTTCCTTTTTATTTTATTTTATTTTACTTTATTTTTCTAAGAGCTATAAGATTATTTAACTTTAACCATGGATAGAAAGAAAACTACTTGTGGATTAAGATAAAATTATACTCCCTCCGCCCCCTAATTTTGTCCCGTTTTACCTTTTTCATCCGTCCCATTAAGTTTATGACATATCATATTTGGTAATATTTGAGTGGTTACAATTTATTCTTACTTTATTCACACTTTATCAATTAATTCCAATCACACAATTCCATTTTTTCTTAAAAGTTGTGCCACACCCTCTTGTTCCAAACATAGTGGGACGGAGGTAGTACATATTTATATATTAACAATTTTGTTGGCCTTCAACATAATCCTGATCGAGGGGCATTTTAGTCTTTTCATACGGGGTTGGGGTGCAAATATTAAAGATTTCAAAAATGGGGTGCAAAGTCTAATTTCGACAATAAAATGGGGTGCAAACTCAAATTATCCCTTATATATATTCTTAAAATTTATTCTACAGTACATAATATTATTCGTATTTAGTACAATTATTATATATCATTCATGCATGTTAATATGCGAGTATATATATATATTTTATTACACAACACAATATTACTTATCATGTGTATGCAAAATATTGATAAAAATATACTCCCTCCGTCCCATTTTACCTGTCCTACTTTCCTTTTTAGGTTGTTCCAAAATAAGTGTCTCTTTTCCTTTATTGGAAAGAAATATGTGGCCTACACCATTTCATTTTATTATATTCAAACCTCTACTAGAACTTTTACTTTTGCAATCACTTTATTAATAATCGTGCCAAGTCAAAGTGAGACAAAATGGGACAGAGGTAGTAATTTCTAGGTCTCCGACTAGTCCCCACTTAGGCGCCCGCCTAGGCGTTGGTCCGGTGCCGTTTAGTGCCTAGCGGCTTTTAGAACATTGTTTATATATGTATGTACTCCTTCCGTCCCATTAGAAGGTTCTCACTTTCCTTTTTTGGACGTCCCATATAAAGGTTCTCATTTCTATTTTAGGAAACAATTAACATTCTTAAGTGACAAATGAATCATTAAATATAAAATATAATATATTTATAACATCACAATTATCAATACTAACTACATTATAATATATACCTATTAAAATTATTTCTCAAAATATACTCGAAGTACTTTATTTAATTATTGCTAAATAACCATGTCGTTTTGCAATGGGAACCTTCCAACGGGACGGGGGTAGTATATAATTTGGCTCAAATGAGAACATGATCTAAGGTGAGAAATGAGAATAATTTTGGTGTGTTGGATTTGGGTATCGTGCATTATGTGAAACAAAAATATGCATTATGATAAATTAGAAAATGTACATTGAACTGTGCATTATTTTAACCATAAATGTGCACATTTGAACTGAGCATTATTTTAACTATACATGTGCACATCTTTGAATCATAATGTGCATCGTTTTGGAGTGTTCTCATTTCTCACGGTAAGAGGTGTTCTCACCGGAGCTAAACCATGTATGTATATATGTAAATATATTAGACTCAGCCTGTAAACAACACTCCAACATTTATCAGGTTGGACCATTTGTGATGTGCTTTGTTTTTCTAACATTCCAGCTCTTTAATTGGTCATTGGAGCCTGCAGAGGATGAAGTCCTCGATAACCTCTTCGAGCTCGGGTATGCAGATGCAGCTGTGTGGTCAGAAGAGAACCCGTTGGAGGGTTTAGTTCAGGAAGAAGGTTGCAGTTCTTTATGAGAGAAGCTTCAACAACAATAGTCTTATAAGTTATAAACCCAGTTTTATGGTTGCACCAACCACTACTTGTGGGGTTTATAGACAAAAGCACATCAGGCGTGGAGATAACAAGCCAAAATCGCTGTATAGTACACAAATGACTATGTGCCTGTCTGGTGATGGTTGTAGTGGCTTGAAAATGCTGAAATCGCTGAAATTGTGTTTGGTATATCTTGACTGAAGCGAGTATAATTACCTTTTAGGTATTACTTTCTTCCTATTTTAAATATGTGTGTTAGCTTTGCTAATATAATTATATTAAAAAGCTCATAAAGGATTGCTAATGGAGTACGAAAGGACCACACTGTGTAGGTATGTGATTTTAGGGATGGACCCGGATGGGTCGGCCTGATCCGGGATCCGGCCCGGCCTGGTACTGTGCAGGCCCGGCCTGGTACTGTGCAGGCCCGGCCCGGCTGGGCGGTACCGGGACCGGGGCCCCGAACCAGCTGTTAATGGCATGAGCTACGGGCCCTAATTTTAGTGGATTGGCTCGGTCGGGTCATGTCCGAGCCAAATTATTATTTTTTTAAGTTTTTGGCATTGGGCTGCTGCTAGGTGGGTTGGGCGGGGTGTTTTGGCGGGTTTGGTGGTGGGGGTAGGAATAAATCCGAAAAGAGTCGAAGATTAATTTAAAAAATGGCCCAACTCGGGCCCGGTCCGGTCCCGGTTCAAACTCGGACCGGTACCGGGCCTTCATCCCAAAACCCCAATTCCACCCAATCCTGACCCAACTCGGCCTCGGTTCATGCCTATGTGATTTCATTGTGGGAAAAATCGCATATATGGTCCCTCAGTTATCAACGAAATTAAAATCTCAGACTTGTATTTATGAGATAGTAAATGTCACTCCTCAATTGTCCTGTAAACGTGGTCCTTTTGAGGGGTGAAATATACAATGTGGGCGAGAGTACATTTCACCACTTAAACTCTTAAAGGATCACATTTACAACAATTTGGACACATTTACAACATTTACAGTCTCATATACACGTTTGAGATTTTAATTTCGTGGATAACTGAGGGACCATATATGCGATTTTCCCTTTCATTGTTACCAAAACTTTGTTTTCTCCTTTTATTTGTTGTTTTCTTCACGTTTGTCTAGGCATGTCAAACACATGGCCCACAAGGACCATCCATGGCTCGAGACATTCGGGGCGGGTCCAGCCTGCCCCATTTTGCAAGTGGGGTGTGTCCACCCTATTCCACAATATGGATGGACTCGGGTCGGGTGGCCCGACTCGAAACCGGCCCGGGACCGGTACTGTTCCGGCCCGGCCCGACCCGGTGGCCCGGCCAGTGACCGGTCCAGGTAGGCCCGACCCGTGGATTTTCCCGTCCGGGCTCGGGTCACCCAAAACAAGGCCCGGGCCCGGTTCGGGCAAAAATTGATTTTTTTTTCATTTTTTTTTCAATTTCCGGGTTGGGCCGAGTATTTTTGGCCATTTGGGGTGGTTTGGGGGGGTGGGTGGGAGGGGGGTTAATTAAGAAGAGGGGGGGAAAAATGATAATGGACCTGGCCCGGACCCGGACCGGACCCGGTGGTTACCCGGGCCAGTCCCGGGTCCACCACTCCTGAACCGCCGGCCCGCCCGGGCCTAGGCCCGACCCATGGGTATTCCGGTCCGGGCTCGGGTCACCCAAAACAAGGGCCGATCGAGCCAAAATTGATTTTTTTTCAATTTTTTTTCAATTTTCGAGTTGGGCTGGGTATTTTGGGCCATTTGGGATGGTTTGGGGGGTTGGGGGTGGGAGGGGGGTTAATTAGGAAGAGGGAAAAAAATTGATAATAGGCCCGACCCGACCCGGACCCGGCCCGGACCCGCTGGGTACCCGGGCCAGTCTCGGGCCCATCTATTCAGAACCGGCCCGAGTCCAACTCTATGACTTGTCAATGTCTTTTTTATATTTCATTTCATATATTTAATTATTAATATAAATAGATTAACTATACGAGTTTAAGTACATTTTTCTATTTTTTTTGAAAATTTTAGTGTATTTGACTTTGATTTAACATATTTTCTATTATTAGGTTTAAATATGTTTTTTGTCCCTCCAAATTTAGTATATTTTGTTTTACATCCTTGTAGGGATGAACCCGGGCTGGTCCGGTTCCGGTTACGGGCCGGGCCCGGACGGGCTTTTTTTGTAGAAACATGGGTCCGGAACCGGCCCGGGGTGATACCGGGTCCGAGTCGGGCCTACCCGACCGGGTAGTTGGCCGGTTCGGGCCGGGCCCGGGCTATTTAATTTTTTTTGTTTAAATATTAAATTAAGATTTAAGTTGTTTACTAGCCCAAATAAGTTTAATCCCCCCTTCACCACCTCCATAGCATCTCCTAACGTCGCTAGCCCGTCCTTTACACATAAATTTAAAATATGACATGCACAACGCTGATGAAAAACCTACTCATCAAAGAAGATGAACCACACAATTAACGCAATCTAGGAATAGCAGCAGTATTATTAGTAGCATTATCAAAACCAATAGCAAACACCTTATTAATCCAATTATACTCAATTAAAATACGCTCAATGAGAATATAAATATTATCATCGGTGTGTCGATCATTAAATTCACGAAAAGCAAGAACACGTTTATGCATACATCAATCATCATCAATATAATGTGCAGTCAAACCCAAATAATATAAATGATGATGAGTATCCTCCCATATATCACTATCCAAATATCCTACCCTTCGTCAATGGTTTGCGGGATGTCTTGTTGATGAAAAAAACCTCCTTGATTTTGTTGCAATAGTTGTTCTAGTTGCTCATCGGACATTGCATTCCCATATCTTTGGTTGTAATCCGCATCAAAATCATCTCGGGTTTGAGATGAAGACCCGGCCCCTCCCTTACCTTTGCGTGACCTTTGGATGATTCCTCGCAATCTCCTTTGTTCGGTTGCGGCGGAGGTTACTCATATCTACAGAAGCTCTAGCACGTTCCATCTTAAAAATATAACAAATATTAAATTCGAAGTACAATTAAACTAGTAAATTTGAAATACAAATCTACCAATTCGAAATACAATTAAATTCAAACTATGCAACTACAATGTAATAAACTTAACTACAATTAAATAATAATGCAATGTAAAAATTCGAACTATTTGTTTTAAAATGTAACAACTTTATTTAACAAGTTTAACAATTAACTAGTTTTATAGGAGAATAATAAATGTAACAATTAACTAGTTTTATAGGAGAATAAGAAATGTAACAATTAACTTGTTTTATAGGAGAATAATAAATGTAACAATTAACTAGTTTTATAGGAGAATAAGAAATGTAACAATTAACAAGTTTTATAGGAGAATAATAAATGCAACAATTAACTCCTATGATAGGAGATTAATAAATGTAAGAATTAACCAGTTTAACAATTAAACAATTAATTTCGAATTAACTATTTTAACAATTAAACAAACAATTATTGTCTAAGAATTTTTAATGTAACTATTTCCAATAAACCAACAACTAACAATTAACTAATTTTATAGCAATGAACTAATACTAAAATGATAAGTGAAACAATTAACTAGTTTTATGTTAATAAACAATGTATGAGTGTGTAAATTAAATTAATGGGAGTGTGAGAGTGTATAAGAAAGTGGATAAGTAGATAATAAGTGTATAAGTAGATATACTTAATATATATATATATATATATATATATATATATATATATATTTATAAGTAGATAATAAGTAGATTAACTAGTAATATATAATATTATGTTTATAGTATATATAATATAAGTATATTACTATAAGATGAGTAATACACTTATATATAATACTTTAATATATATAAGTATATATTAAGTATATGTAATATGTAAATATATAAGTAAATAAATTAGAGATTATTATATATGTAACATGTAATATGTAAATATAAGTAAATAAATATAAGTAACAATAATATAATAATTAGATATTAATATAAGTAGATAATGAGTAGATAATAAATTTTATAAATATAATATATGTAGTTATAAATTTGAGAAGATGAAAATGGAGAAGATTAGTAGAGAATAGAGATTAGAGAGTAGGAATATTTGGAGAAGATGTGTAGTAAATTGTATAGAAAAAATGAAGTATTTATAGATTTTTTGTACCCCCACCCCACCCCACCCCCAACCCACCCCGGGACCCCCTTGAAGGCTCCCAACGGCTATAGAGCCGTTTGGGTTGAATTACAACAGCTATAAGGCCTGTTTGGCTGGCCAAAGTTTTTTTTTTAAAAAATATAGCCGTTAGGCTCGAGCCGGGCCGCCATTTTCCTGAACGGTGCCCGAACCGCCCCTACCCCCGGGCCGGATCAAAGCCCGCACCGCCCATTAGTTACCCGGGCCGGACCGGACCGGACCCGCATAGTATCGGGCCGGGCCGGGCCGGTTCCGGCCCGGCCCGGCCCAGTTTGGTCCATCCCTACATCCTTGCAAAATCAATTTTTTTTTTTTGTTTTTCATCCATGCAATTTATGTTATTTTCTTTTTAGTCCATCACCAATGATAATAACCTCCAATTGACCTCAAAACAACACCGACTAATAGATTACCTCTAATTCTTTATAATGTCATTCAAAAAATATTTCATTTAATTTTTATTTAATAAATATTTTTAAAATGTGAATACTTAGTTTGACATTGTTTTAACTCTCATATTAGTTTAAAAAAATTATAAAATGACATATTTAAATATTTCTAGTAGATTTATGCAACTCACAATAACTTTTATTGTAAGTGTAGTGGTTTCATAATTATAGATGGACTAAAACAAAATAGTGCATATTTTTCAAGGATGAATAAAAATTGCAAGAAGAAAAAAACAAAGTGTGGCATATTTGCAGGGACTAAAAACGTATTTAAGCTTTATTAATTCTTTAGAAATAAACTTTGTGTAGATTCAAGTGAATGCTTCCACACAAACAGAGACGCATGCTAGATAATTACCTGCCCCGAACGGGGGGGGGGGGGGGGGGGGGAGTCCACTAAGTTGTATTTAATAGTGTAGAATTAATTAAGTATTAATTATTAGATAGTTTCCTAATTGTATTCAAATACTTATTTCTTATATATATATACTGTCAGGACTACCAGTCAAGGTAAGCTTGTTATTATTTCTCACATGGTATCAAGAGCCTACGGTTTTTCCACATTTTTTCCCTCTCTTCATGAGTACCCCCGCTGCCAGCAATCCTGTGGTTGCGCCGCTAGCCTCAGCGCATAGTCTGCCGTTAGCATGC